GTTTAAATGCATTACCAAACATGTCAGGTACATAATGGGATAAACCCCGAGGGTTTGGCTTATGGAAAACCACAGGATCAAGTCATTAAAAAGCCCTTGGCTGTTTCACTTTGAGGTTTTGTCTCTTCCCAGGATTACAGAACACAACTTACAGCTGAGGTCCCTTCTCATCAACTCCTCCAAAAAGCAGTGCGACACCAAACGGACGAGACTGCAACAGAAAGCAGCCAGCAGGTCAGGCAGGGCTGAGGACAGAGTCAGGGGGACATGGGGGGGTCTTGGAGCAGCCCAGCCCATCGTTACACACCATTGCACCAGGGTCTGCGTCCTCCTCCCCAAACTGCAGCGCCAGGTTGGACACAGCCTGTGTCACACTCTCCACGGTCATGGTTTCATTGTAAGTGAACCAGTGATTCTGCAGGAAAACAAGGCTTCAGATTATTGCTCTGCTCCCCAAAGATGACAGTCCTGGATCGTTCACAGGCTGCTCTGCAGCGACATCCCACTGAGAGCTTTGCCCCAGCCCCTCCTGACAGGCAATGCATACAGGGAGTGAGGGGCTCAGCCACGGGATGGAAGCACTACAGACAGCCCCCAGTGCAGAGTGTGCTGAGAAGTACAGGAAGGGTCCCCCAGAACAGCTGGGCCTTGGGGTACCAAAGAGGAAGACAAAGGCAGAGCACTCTGTCCTCACACTCGTGGTACCCGCTGAAGGGCTGGGGTGAGATGTGGCATAAGATTCCCACCAAGTGTTCCACATAGAAAAGGAAAAACGCACAGGAGGCTGCAGCTATCTGTTCTGCAGGAGCTCTGTGCAGGAAGCCACACTGCACACAAGCCTCCCCCTCCCACCAGCTCTTCTGCTGTAACCATCATCCCACACCAGAGACACCCCCCAGCACTAACACTGCTGTTTTGAGAAATGTCAAGTCTTACCTGAGTCTCCACTCTTGCTTTATCAATCAAAGTCTTGGCATCAGCTATTAAGCCACTCATGGCACACCCTGGAATCAGAGAGGGAAACCACGAGTCATTTCATCAGCGATTTGCAACCTGCTCTCCCCCAGATTTCCCACCACCCACGGTGCACACAGCAGGGCCCTGCGTGGGAGCAGCCAGCAGCGTGCTGCAGGGCACGGGGTGGGATGGCTGTGGGCACAGAGCAAGGCAGTGCTTCCTATGGATGCTCACACCGAGCTGGATGCACAGCCAGAGGGCAGATGCACCACCAGGATCTGCCAGTGACACTTCCCACCCACCCTGATGTTCAGGGTTGACACAACTGAGGCTTTTTCCAAGAGAAGCCATGGAAAGGGGAATGCATCCCTCCTGCTGTGGGGTTCAGGAGCTGCCCCTGCAGGAGCCTGCAGCACAGAGCTGCTCCCTGTTCTAAGGGCTGCACCACAAGCACACAAAGGGAAAGCAGACCCTGCTCCTAAGCACCATGATCCATCTCCTTGGCAATGTGGGTATTTTGGAGGCCTCCTGCTCTTCACACTGACATATTTGGTAATGAGAACTTTGTGGGCCCCCTCGGTGCAGGAGCAGGGGTACAGGCACCAGTGCTCTGGGAGAACCTGGCCTCGAGTCAAGCCTTTACATTGCAGTAATTCCCTGCCCTCCCAGATCTAATTTTGGGATGAGCTTTCATCAGGGAGGTCACTGAAGGTGGGGGTGCTTCAGCTGCCTCTTCCTACTCCTGTAACTATGTCCTGCTGGCCTGCAGCCTGGAAAACCAGCGAGCGGGACCTGGTGCTCACTGGGGGAGAGCTGAGCATTCCCACTTGGATTGCCAGAGCTGCCTGCAGGAAAGGCTTGTTCTGAAACTCACAGAGCTTTATTGTATGTATTTACACACAACAACGATTGGATGGATGTCCTGGGGGCAAGCAGAAGTACATTTCTTTTTTGTTTTTCACCTTACCTATATGGGAATCTATTTCTACAATCTTCTCAATGCTGCTGGGCTCCATGAGTGGGGAGGTGATCCTCTTCTCCACAGCCAGGCAGACGCCCTCCGAGGTCTGGATGCCGATGGCCGTAGAGCCGAGCTGCAAACAACCACAGTCACCACCTCCATTCCAAACGGGGCCCAGCTGTGACACTGAGCATAGCTGTACAATGCTCATGCCAACCCATGCTATTTGTAGGCACGTTGTTTTGGAGAAAGACGCTTCAGGACAGAAAGCAGCCCAGCCTGGCATGCCAAACTGAAAGCATTACAAGCGGCACTTGTGGCAGGCGTGAAGGTGAACACCATGATATTTCCCCACAGATCAGAATCCAGCAGCTCCAGTTCTCAGGAACAAAGGAACATTCATCAGCTGAGAACACTTACAGGCTCAGAGAGGCCGTACAGCTCCGCAGCCACAGGTCAGCTTGCTCACAAACACGCTGCCTCCCACCTTCCTTGTCAGAGTATAAAATTCACCTGAGCAAACTGACTGTGACTCACTCTGAGCTGCACAGCAGCGAGCTAAGAGGATGAAAATCAAACCAGAGGGAGAAGAGTTGTGACTTTTTTTTTTTTTTAAGGGGCACCACATCACAGACTGTGAAATAACGCTCCCTCAGCTCAGGGCAGCAAAGAGAAAGCACAGCATTCCTTTGCTGTTAGGGGAGCATTTGTGGACATTAAGCACACAATGCCCTTGGTGCCAGATTCTGCAGTAAGTCAGGCTGTGTAAGCACTCAGGACCCTTGGCTTCAAAATGAGCCTGATTTTGGGAGCAGCTCTTTTGGGTTGGGTTTGCTTTGTGGGTAAATGTTGCAAGCTGCAGCAGCCACCGATGCTTCCAGTCACACAAAGCAGATGAGTGGAGCTGCAGGAGGCGCCGCTGGGTGGAAGGAATTGAGTGCTGGGACACAGATCTCCTGCACTGCAAACTGAACATAAAAGGCTGGCAAAGAGCTGCTGGCAGGAGCAGCACCTATTGGGAAAGCAGTGCTTCCCACTCCTGCTCAGCATTGCATTGCTCTGGGAAGGCAGCCAAAGCCTGCTTCACTGCAGAGCAAGAGCAGAGCATGAGAGAAAAGAACCTGCCTGGCTTTTCTCTGACCAAACTCACTTTGAAAGATCATTCAACATCACAGCATGACAGCCAGATTGCGTTGACAATACCTTAATGGCCTCGATTGCATATTCCACTTGGAACAGCCTCCCCTCCGGAGAGAAAGTGTTCACACCCCTGCAAGAACAACATCAGACATGGTGTGAAAGGCAGAAAACTGAAGTCCTGCTGACAAAGGACAGGTGACACAGGAGGGCTTTGCACTCCTCCCCCCAGCAGTGCTGGACTGGGGATGCTCATGAAGCAGAACAGCAGATACCAGTGAGCCAGAGGGAAGGTTGTTCTCATCCCACTTTGCACTGAGGGCATTGGAAACAGAGCCCAGGCAGCGAGCCCTCGGGCACCGCACGGCAAAGCCCTCACTGGCAGATGTTCCACAGCCCCGACCCCCCCAAGTCACCAGGCCTCTTCCCAACGTCCAAAAACATCGCTGAGACCGAGGGCTCCATCCCCACATGGAAACTCCCAGCGGGTTTTATGTAGCCTGCTGCCCCCACAGCTAGGAAGGCTCACGTAGGGTTACAGAATGGTTGGGTTGGAAACAATTGTTCCCTGTTTGCTGCTGCGGGCTGGGTGCATACCACCAGCTCAGGCCGCCCGGGGCTCCATTCACGTCCTCGGTCACCTCCAGCGATGGGGCACCCACAGCTCCGGGCAGCGCAGCACCGCATTGAGGCTGAGCAGCGCCCTCCTTACGGCCTCGGGGCGCTTCCAGGCCTTAAAGCGGCGGCGCGGAACCGAAAGCGCTTCGTAAGCGGCGCGCACAGAACGGAGCAAATCCAGGAACGAGGCCGAGGCAGCCCCGCACGCGTCGTGCGCAGCTCTGCGGGGTGACGGGCGGCACCGGGACCGGGCCGCTGCCCGCACTGCGCCCCGCGGGGCTGTGAGAGCAGGGCCGTGACTCAGCCGCAGGCCGCGAGCGGCGGGGGGAGAGCGGGAAGGGCCGACCGGGGGAGAAACGGCACTCACCGGTCGTACTCGGAGCGCGTGAGGAACATGGCGGCGTCGGGGGGCACGGGGGCGGTGCGGGGGAGGCGCGGCGGCGGCAGCGGAACCGGAGCCGCTCTGCCCTCGCCGGGTTCGCATCCACTTCCTGCCGACGGCCCGCAACGCGCACGCGCCGCCCCGCCTCCTTACGTCACTTCCCCCCGCGCCGCGAACCCATTGGCGGGAGGAGAGAGGAGCGCGGCCAATGGGAAGGCGAGGAGGGCGGGCTCGGCGGGGAGAGAGAGGGGAGGAGCCAAAGCAGGAGGGCGGGGCGAAGGCTGAGCGGCAGCAGAGCGGGAGGGGGCGGGCACACGTGGATGGGGGCGTGGTCAAACGGTGGGTGGGCGTGGTTATCTAAGAAGTGGGCGTGGTCAGGCAAAAGTGGGCGTGGCCATTCGATGCCGGGCGCGGGGCAGCGGGCAGCGGGCAGCGGGCAGCGCCGTGGGGTGGGTGGGGGGCGCGGACCCCCGGTGGGTGCCGGCGCTCAGCGGGTACCGCTCCGCTCCGCGCCCACTGAGCCCCGCATGGGCGTGGGACCCCCAGTGTGGGTGGCCGCCCTCCCTCCGTTCTTCCGCTTCCCCCCCCGCGCGGCGCTTCCTGCCCGGTACGCGGCTGCACGCGGTCGTGGGGGTTTCCCCGGTACCGTGCGGGGCGGGGTGCGGGGGATGCACCGCGTTCCCGGGGTGGGGGGTCCGAGAGCGGCCCCGGGCGGCGTCGGTGCTGCTCCGGGGGTCCCGGTTTGGGGGACGGGGAGGATGGAGGGACGGACGGAGGTACCGGTGGGTGCCGGGGGCGGGGTTCGCCCCACTGCTGGAGCGGGGGGGTGCGGTGGGGGCGGTCCGGGGCCGCCCCGTGCACGGTGGTCGCGGGGGGGCGGGGGCGGTCCGGGCTGTGCCCGCCCGGGGGCGCTGGGGCTGCGGGTGGCGGCGCGGGGGCGGCTCTGAGAGCGGTGCGGCGGCGGCGGGCGGAGGAGGAGGAGGAGGAGGAGGAGGCGGCAGCCCCCGACGGCCCCGACGGCCGCGGCCATGGCAGAGTCCGGAGCCCCCTCGGGCGGCGACAAAGCGCCCCGGCTCCAGGTAGGGCCCCGCTGCCACCCGTGCCCGGCGCTGCTCCCCGGTGCCCTCCTTCCTCCCGGTGCTCCCGCGGTGCCCCCGTTCACGCCGCTCTCTCCGTTCCGCAGGACCGGGTCCTGGCCGGGATGCGCTGGGGCCGCCTCCAGGAGCCGCTGGGCTTCGTTAAGGTGCTGGAATGGGTGAGTGCTCCCCGCAGCCCCCCCAGCACCCTCAGCTCTTCGCTTCCCTCCCCCTTCATTTTTAGGGTGCCCCGTCGTTGTCCCAAAGCCCACGGAGGGACCTCGGAGCCCCCCTGCCAAACGCACCCCTTCCAGCTGTGGGTGGGGGGATCCCACAGAGGTCTCCCGAGGGGCTCCAGGTGTGGGGGCCGCTTGGGCAATTCATGTTGGCCTCCCCAGTGACCTTGAGCAGGTGGCAGCGGCCGGCTGTGCGCAGGGG